GTGGAGGCCGACCTGACCCGAGACACAAACGCTTTCTCATCCGAATCCAGAGTTAGTTTATGGGAAAAACTATACGTCGGTTCCCCCCAAACGTTCGGGTCGTTTGGGTTGTTTGGGTCAATACATTGGATGCGACTGTTGGACAGATAATAAAGATTGAAAATTAATTCTTTAATTATTAATTATAATGCAATTAAAAGCAAAAAACAAACTAAACTCTAGTTTGAATGAAGAGAAAGGCATAACAGGTTTGTCCACAAAAGCTCCGAAACCGATCTTAAAGTCTTTAGTGGTTCTCTTCATAGTGTCGGCCAATGTTTTGCCAACGTTTGCCAAATTGGTCTTAAACTTCTTCATAGTGCACGACAAGTCCATCAGATAATACAAATCCATGGGATAGTCGTCCGCCTGTTGGAAGTGTATCGGTATCTTCAGCTCAGAGTTGGTCCTCATGTGGAGCCGATACTTCTGGGGCTTGAGTTGAACCGTTTGGCCAAACTTTTTGCTAAACTCGCGGTCCACTAGTGTCTCGTACCGGGGGTTGAGTTTAGCGCCGACCAGTTTCTCTTTATTGCAGTGAAACTGAAGCTGTTTTTCGCCATTACATCGGTATATATGGCTGAAGGCCTCGTCTTCACACCAAAAACAGTCCACTGATTTTGATATACATTCGCCGCACGTCTTAGCGCTCAGACAGTGCTCTTGAAGTGCTTTTTAATAATAATTTATAAATAAATGTCAATTATTTTATATAAAGCTATAAAAATATTAATAAATTGTTGTAATATCTTATGTTTAATTAAATAAAAATTAAGTTTATTTTATAGTCGAGCACAAATTGCTATACAAGTATTGTGTTAATAATTATGGCTATAAAAAAGTTATTAAGGTATGTTATAAGATAATTTTTACCATGTGATGTGTGTATGTGAAGATTACAATATGAAATAATTACTATAAGTTTTAAAAACATTTTTAAATAAATATTTTAATTACATTAATTTCAATACAAACTCATTTTATTTTTATTTGTAAAATAGATTTAGTTTTGCTAATAGTTTAGTGAAAGTCATATCCGAGTTATGTATAAATTGAAAGGAAAATTATATATCCGTTTGAAAACATTGTTTTATGCTATAAACTAAAATTATATCAAACTTTCAATTACTTTGTACAGTAGTTGAGTTTTGTTTTTATTTGCTATTTTGTTCAATTTACACATAAATCACAGTTAGTGTAGTTTTGATAACATTATTCAGTCTCAATTATTTATAAGTTTAAATTTTTTATTTTCACTATAACAGAATCCAATAGTTTGAATCCAAAATAACTAAATATTTTACAAATTTGAATGGTTTTAATAAATTTTAAATAAGTCTAAAATTAAAAATTGAAATTACATTGTTCACATTAAAACTTAATTAAAACATAATATGTTTGATAAAATTAATTAAAATAAAAAATTATAATTGAGAGGATAGGGTTAAGGGGAAGAATATTTCACAACATTTTCTATCACATGGTTAATACAGACAAAGACTTTTCCCGATATCCCAGAAGTATAGCCGGATTATCGATGAGTTTCTTCTTAATCATATCAATCTGTTTACTCCTAATGTCAGTCATTGTATGCAATACTATAAATGCAATTAAACTCAATTCAGTGCAAACGAAACACATGATGATTATCGACGACGGGTTAGTGCATAGATCGGACAGGAATAGGGGTAGTATTGCGGTACCGGCGCCCCCGGCCAACAGGAATAAACTCTGCAAAATTAGAAATAAAGTTCAAATTAAATATATTTCATTTGATTAAAAATTGTCATCAAAATACTCACTCCAATAGCATTTGTGACAGCAATGTGGTGCTCGAGGAATGTATACTAAATATGTTAAAATTGTGAATTAATTTCATATATAGTTATTTCAATCTATACTAGACTTACAGCCGTGGCGTATGTGGACGAGAAGCCCAGTCCTATCAATGAGTTGCCCAACCATAACATACTGATATCGGTTTTGTAAAACACAATCAACACAATACTGCCCACGTTTATGATCGCGAAGTTCACGTAAATCATGTGTTGAGGCTTTAGTTTTGTGGACAAATAGATACAGATTAGACCGCCTAAGGCATAGGTGGCTCCGGTGGCCGTCTCCACGTACGCCGATTGCATGCCTTTATGTAATCAAATCATGTTATTAATGAATTTATAGCTAATATTAATTCTATAATTTAATAAATACCAGCAATTGGTAGTGGCGTTGATGTAATAAATTGTGCCAAAAATTGCAAATAAGTCACTTCGAGGCCATAGTATGTCATGAGTAGACACGAGCCGACAGTAATCAATGTTATGGTATAAGAAGAGGGAATATTTTCTTTCCAGATCTCAAACTTTTCCATATTTGACAACTCTTTGGGCATCTCTTCGGCGAAAGCTGGCGGTGCGTGTGGTATACGCGGCGGCACATACTTCTTGTAGATGTACAGCGCCAGTAACGCCAGTCCACCCGACGCCACAATACCCGCACTGATCAGGTATGGGATGTAAAGTATGGATTCAAATTTAGGTTCAGCTGTTGTCGGCTATGGGTTTGAAATACAAATTTTAAATTTGAATCAAGTATTTTTGTTAAAGGCTTGTTTGAAATGCACAAAAAACAATACCAACCAATAGATCGGCGAGTGTTGTGATTGTTGTTGTCTCTGATTCACTGCCACCACATCCGGACTCTTCGCTGGACAAAAAGTTGGCGGTTATTGTGGGCGCGATTGTAATGCCGATACCAAATGAAAAGTGCAACGCCTGGAGCAGTGGTCCGCCTCCGCCCTCAAACATCTCGATGATCCACACGTGAAATCCTATTAAATTAGTAAATATTTTCTGTTATTACCATCATTTTAATTGCATTGTTTAACTTATGGGACAAACCTATATCACAGGCTCCGGCGGCGAACCCATTGATGCCACCGATCACGAAGAATACGGTGAGTGTACTGGAAAATGGGGTCGCGATTAAAGTAAACGCCGATATAATCAATAGCGCTATTAAAGCCAACTGTCGGTTCACATAATTGAATGCAATTCCGCCTAAAATGTTGCATATATTTTGTTAATTATTTTTAATCATGCTGTATTGGTCATTATAATATATTTGTTTAATAAATATTTTAAATTTGTATAATATTATGATTTTGTTTACACTAATTCTTAAGCGATCCTGATTGTTTGTTGCAATTATAATGTTTTAAATCGTATTTTAAAATTTAATTGCATAATATTTAGTAACTAAAATCTCGACATAAGTTACAAAAATAATAAATATATTTATAAATGTTAAAAGTGTTAAACAATGTATTATAAAATTATTAGTTAACACTTAATGCCATAAACTTATAAAATTTAATCAAAAGACGTAATGAAAATTTCCTAAAGTTGTAAAAAAAATTTCTTTTATATGTAATTATTTACAAATTGCAATAAAGATTAATTTTTCCTTAAATATGTACTTTAAAAGTATGTTTAGTTTCAAAAGTTTTTTGTCCTAAACGTTTTATAACAATGTACTTTATAATAATGAACTTAATATAGTATTGCAAACCATATATGACATACCAAGAGCTCCGAAAGTATAGGCCACTTGTCTTATGATCACAAAATTTGATATCTCTTTAAATGAAACGCCAAGTATTAAAGACATCTCTTCAAACGTCGGCCCAAATATGTAGTCATTTAAAGCCTTTGAATAATTTTAAATAAACAATTAAAATGATATTATTTGGTAATTTTATGTAAAATTTTAATAATTTCATTATTTCTATATATTTCATCAATATGATGTAACCTTAAATCATGTAACCAATATCATGTAACATTTCACTTGTCTGTCACTAACTCTTACTTGAATCGATCGTATTCTTCATCTAAGATATCATAAGTGATGGTATGTGTGATCCCCGGGTGTATACCCATAGTGTATATGTCAACCCATGGCCTACCAGTCCTACAGGTCTCTCAAAACACATGTCAAACTGTGGTCTAATTTATTAGATTATAATTTTGTGTCCATGTCTTTAGGGTTACTTAAGATAGACTTTATTTTGGGCCACAATTTGTGACATCGAGTGAGAAGTTGTGCGCAAAACACATATCACTACAAAAATTGCACACAAATTAAATCGCTATCAAAATCGTTATTCAGTAAATTATTTGTCAGTGAAATAAACAATATCTGTTTGTTTGTCAATCATTTTCATACCATTATAAATGCCTAGACATAAACATAACCCAAATATTATGCTGTTTTGTTAACATTGAAGGTTTTGAGACTACTCTTATATGACATTCATTATATAAATTGTTTTATAAAAATCTGTTTTGTTTTTTGTTTTTCTCTATAATTCACTGCATTTAATGAATATTTAGCGATAATTTAAACGCAAAAATACGTACCAATGAAAAGTAACAAAACCATAGGACAGATGCGGTGACATATTTGTACTTTTTGCTGATTATCTCGTCCTCTTCCACACCAGACAGGTATGAGATGATGGATGTGGTCCTCTCCAGGTCTCGACCACTGCCACCGATGCCGTCGCCAAAGCCCTCGAGTTCGGCCTTCATATGCTTTTCGTGGTTTATATTGTTTTGGATGAGAGCATCGGTTCGGTGTTTGGCCATCAATTCGGCCAAATTGCGGACCGAGTCCTGGTTGGCCTCCGAGCGCAGCATTTCGATGGCCGGCGTGACCGCCGTCGCCGCCTCTCTGGCCTTTGCGGCCATTTTGGTTGCCTTTTGGTTGTTGTCCTCAAACTGACCGTTCATTGCCTTAAATATAAATCTATGCGAAACTTTTGTCTGATTCTTGAGATGGTTTGGAAGTTAAGAACAATAAGTATTTTATGCATGAAATTTGAACATAAATTCAAATGAATGTGATTATCAACAAAATATAGTTAGCGTTTAACAAATTTCTTGTTTAATACAAGAGAATTACGTTAAATACTAAACAAATTGACGTTTGGTTTAAGAAAAACGAGACAATTGTTAAGAGAGAAACTCTTTTGTAACTGATTTTTTGTTTCATTTGAGTGTCACTTATATATAAAATCCATAGAAAATTAGCCGTTTTATGATTCAAGATATTAAGAGCACAAGAATTGCATTTAAAAATTATATCATAAAATAATAATCAATGATAAAAAACGTTGAGTTAATTTATATCAAAGCTATGGATATACTTTATATACGTATAAAACACTTTATAATTACGTTTTATAACAATAATAATAAAAATTTTAATTATTTTAATCGCAATCTGTTTGCGATAGAGAGTGAGAATCGTATGCTATCTGACAATCAGTTTAATAAATAGTCGTCTTTTATATCACTATTTATTGAACCGGAGAACAGAATTCTGTATTAAATAAATGTGAAATCATATGAAAACTTAAAAACAGAGCTATAAAAAAGGTTTTATGTATTTTTCCGATCATTAGTTATCAGATTATGGTTGAGATTGTGTGGGAAATAATTGTCAATAAGTGTATAGTTATGTAACTAATGTTAATTAATTAAATGTTGCGAAATGTATACCTTATCCTCTGGTTTTGTCAATCAAATCTTCAGATGTGGACAATAATTATTAATTTCATGTTTTTAAATCATTTCAATTAATGGGCTATTATTTTGTTTGAATAAATAGTTAGTTGTTTTCCTTAGAGATAAGCAATAATTAGACATCATTTTAAGTGCCATTATATTTGCTTATTTATAATGAAGTTTATTAACACATAATTTGATGTTTTAATGAACTGATAGTTTATTAATTCATAAATGCTTTATTTACACACAAATACTTTGATTACAACAAAGTTTAACAAAAAAAAAGTATTAAATAGTTTACTGACGTTAAACTCAGAGCAGCTTTTTATCTACAGATTAATAAAAATGATTTTAAAACACATTTCTATTAACATAATAACAATATTAGCAACAAAAACGATTAAAACATACGTTTAAAGCAGTGATTAATTAGATATTTGATAACGATAAAAATAAAATATAAAATCATCGTTTGCTTAAACAATAAACTGAATCATAAAATAATTTGTAAACTATTTTGTTGATTGAAATACTCATATGTATTGCCTTTCGCTGCCAAACATGGACTGAAAACTATTAATTTTTAATCATTTTATATATGATTTATAAATTATACGCTAATTTATACGATAAACCTTATAATTGAATTTTATGTAAAAGTGTAAATTCATGTGTTTTTATATCATTTATAAAACTTATATTTAATTTAATTCAATTATGAAATGATTGTTGTATTTTATAATATTTTAATTACATATCGAGGCTATTGTACAATAAAATTGAGGCCAAATCAGTATTGTTTTTGATTTTGTCAACACATTTGTTATTTTAATATCTCGTTCAATATAATGGAAAACTTTTAATAAACTTAATTTGTTTACAACTAAATGGTTGAAGATTTTGGTTCATTATTTATTATTATTATAATAGTGTATTTTGTACTTAAAAATAATAAATAAGTTTTTGCACTACAAATAAGGATCTTTTTATACCATTAAATCAATTACAAAGTATATTTGTAATTTTACACAAATAACTTTAGATGCAATTTATTAGTTTATAATGTTTTATATAACATTAGATAAATGTTTACATTTATAAATAGTCTGTATTATTCATAACTCTTAGAAAAGAAAATAAAAATTTTATAAATAACAATAAAATCTATTATTCTCTTACCATAACTACAATCCCAATAAAACTGTAAATACAATTAAGTTAACTTATATTCCCATTCAGTAATATGTGTTTCCCATTAAATATATTGCTATAAACTCATCAATAAATGATAAGATAAATCCCTCTTTATATCAAAGCATTCAATACATGAACAAAACCACCAAAAAATACCAGAATATTCTTTAGCGCATGATTTGCAACACCAAAAACAAAATCAATAAATCCTTTTCCAGCCATTCCTTTACTCTTGAAAACCACTATTTATTTACATTTTTCGCTAATAATAATTGCATATTTCCTATTCATATGCAAACCAACCAACAAATAAACAAAATACTAAAAACTTGATGCATATATTGTGCAGAAATAACAGTGAAATGAGTGAATACAGCACATCATTCAACATATCGTTCGAGCACTCGTACGGCGACCATTTGGGTCGTCCCTTACGACAGCTCTTCTCATCGAGCGCTCAATTCGGCGAACTATACCTCTGTTTAGCCGTATTTGTGCTCTTTCTGGCCATCACTGGCCTATTGTTTGTGCTCTTCCTATCCATCAGTTATATCACACGCAAGTCGTGCGGAATCGCATCCGACGTGGAGAATGGCAAACACGCCAATCGACTCGATCTGGTTGTGCCTCCCATTACACTCGGCTAACCTAATGAACTGCACATTACTTTTGTGACCAAACATTTTGTATGCAATCTCAAGATATTGTGCCAAATATTGTCGTTTACGAAACAAGTCTATGCATTCCTGGTATGGCTGTTATCCCAACCAATGCCTGTGCCCTTCAGACACATCTCCCAATCAATCATCAATTAGTTGTCTTCCAAATTATATTTTAAACAATTGTTATTAGTTTTTGTGTAACTTTTCATGAATATCTCTTTTTGCATTCAATTTTAATATTATTTAAATGTAATTTTTATATTGAATAGTTCTGTACTTTGAAATGTTTGCTATATATTGGCCAAAATTATAATAATTAACTTTAAGCTAAAATATTGTAATTATTGCTATAAATACGTTATAATTGTATTTATAACAAAATCAATGCCGCAAAACACACACAACTGTATGAATATAGAGATTAACGTAAATTGTATTACAATTTTTCAATGAATTTAAAATTATAAAATAAATATCTAATATAACAGTAAGTCTTGTAATTATTAAAATATTAAAATTTTCAATTGAACAAATTATTTTCAATATTTTTAAGAAAATGTTATTTTAAAGTTTATTAACATTCATGTATTAATTAAAGATATTTAATAAAATCTTGGTTTTAATTGTAATTAAAGCAATATTTTAATTTATTATAAAATGTAAATGGGCAAGATTCAATATCATTGTACAACAAATAAATTCATTGATTTTTGTATAATTGAATGTTATTTATTAAATAGTAAACAATTTAAATTAAATTTTATTTTAATTTATCATAATCTTAAGTTATAATAAAATAATTTATTGTGGTTATTTTGATATTAAACACTTAATTAAAATTTTATAATTAAATAACAAAAAATCATTAAAAATATAAAATGTAAAAAAGACCACAAGTTATTGATAACATTATATAGTGATAGAAATTAACGTAAAAATTAAAGAGCAATTAAATTGAATGGAAAACAAACGGATCGTGAGATGAGATAATGAATTATCGTTTGCCAAAAATGAAGTCTCCGCCGCCGCCCATACCTAACGCCAGACCCAAACCACCCAAACCTCCAAAACCTCCATCGCCTCCAACAATGATTATATCTGAACCACGTCTCGCCTCAATCGCACTCATTGTGATCACCAAAATCACTAACAATACTATAAACTGTTTGAAATTCATTTTGATTATACAATTCAGTTAATGTTTAGTCCACACAAATGATTGTTAAGTTTTCAATTTAGCGAATGATCCCTCAAAACCAGTGATTGATTTCTTATATACTAACCATACTTTCCGATAGACTTCCGCCTCTTTTGCCATTGGATTAAAACATTATTTTAAATTTTATACTTTTCTTTACCTGTGAATTACTTTTCAATGATTTTGCGCTAAAAATTAAATCTTTTGTTTTGTTTTTTATACATAAAATTTTTTTATTATGTATTTATTAATAATAGCATTTAAAACGAATATTTCAATGGGTGTTGTAATTATTTTAAACTTTTTCTATGGATCATAATTTCTGGTAATTATACACACCGTGTGTTAAATGAATACACTGTAAAACTTAAGGTATTATTGAAATTATGTTAATTTCCCATAATTTCAATCTCGAGTAAAACTCACAATAAATTGAAAATTACGGTTAAATAGATTTGTGTCAACGCTTCAGAGATTATCCAATAATGACAACAATAATAAGCTGTTCTTCATATCAACCGATGTTTTATAAATTTTGCTATAATCTGTACAGAGATTTAAAAATTTATTACTTATTTTAGGATTAACGACAGTAATTAGATTAATAACAAAATAATTGTAATGATAATTGATCCGTAATTTTTTGAATTTTTCAATAAAATTGTAAATTTCTTTAACAGATTAAAAATATTTAGTAATTTTTACTCATTTAATTGTTTAAAATATATTTTAATTTTTAAATAAATTATATATTAAGAAAAAAGATAATAGTTTATATTATTATAATTTAATTATAAATTTTGGTTAAAATATAACAATAGTATTTTTTATTTATTGAATAAATCACAAAAAGACAAACGATAGCTAATTGTAAGACAATTAATTGATTATACAATAAATGTTTTGTATATAATTTATTTGCAAAAATGTTTCACTCAATTAGCAATAATAATAATATCAATAGATTCTCAACTAGTGATTGAAAATGATATTGAATTTGAATCCAAACGGCAATTGATTTGCACTTTTAAAATATGAGTTCAAATCAATTGAGACGAGAGTTTCTCAAACACTGAATACAATAGGAATTAATAAATGGTAACAATTTATGAGATAATTAGCTGTGAATTCAATGCCTCACGTAATGACACAATCAATG